TGTGTGTGTGTGTGTGTGTGTGTCTGTGTCTGTGTGTGTCTGTGGCTGCCCTAAAAATCAGCGTGACAAATAGCCTAAAGGAGAGTGGTGTTTTTAGTCATGCGAATATCAAAATTCCACACAGTCCGGCAGGCTGTTCTACAAACACAGTTGACTTCCACCCCCCGGTGAAGGGTGCGGAATTGCTCGTTAATAAGGAAGCCCCATTTAGTGTGAGACGGTCATGACATGACAGAGAGAAAGAGTGAAGCAAAGGTATTTGTTTTCCATGTTTTATCTCAATTAAGTTAATAGTTAAAGCACACAAATGTTTCTTGTTTCCGTTATTCGCTTGTGGAAATCTTGAGTGCTCCCACCTTCTTCACGTTATGTTAGTTGTGTTTTCTCCTCTCCGCACGCCCCCCATCAACCACCATCTCCCCCCTTTTCACTCTCTCCCTCTCACCGCCAGAAACCATGGAGTACACTGATCCGTAAATGATAATGAATCTCTCTCTCTCTCTCTCTCTCTCTCTCTCTCTCTCTCTCTCTCTCTCTCTCTCTCTCTCTCTCTCTCTCTCTCTCCCCTCCTCCTCGTCGACAATCAATGTGATCCCTGCGGATCCGGTAAGTCCTTTTTCTCTCTTCCTCTCTCTGTCGATCTTTCTCTTTTCCTTCCTCTCCGCCTCCATCACCTGCATGTCCGCATTTATCCTATCCCTCTCGTGATTCACGCCCTTCCTTCGTCATTATCCTGCTCTCTCCTTTCCTTACAAACCTGCTCCCTCCCTCCGCGCTGAGCCCCTCTTCCTGCCTCCCAATCTCTTCTTCGCTCCTTTGTCCGGATCCCGTTCCATGACCTCCATTCCTTAACCTGTCACCTTGTCTTCTTTCTCCTGCTCTGCACTTCATCAGTCCCTACATGCTCACCCTGATTGGCTGACATTCGGACCTCCTCCTCCTCCTCCTCCTCTCCTCCCTCCTCCTCGTGCTCCTCCTCCCCCCTCCTCCTCCTGCTCCTCCCGATCCCACATCATCCTGATTGCTCCCCCGCGCCCCACTTCCTTTTCTAATCCGCGCTGCTCATCCCCTCCTCCTCCTCCTCCTTCTCCTCCTCCTCCCTCCTCCTCCTCCTCCTCCTCCTCCTCCTTCTCCTCCTCCTCCCTCCTTCTTCACGAATTGGGTCCCTGACCTACATCCTCCTCCCATTTCCTTACGGATCTTCCTCTCAAAGTCTTCCCCCTCCACAACCACCTCCTTTACGTCGGCAATCTTAGCGTGCATGCTTCTCTCCTTCTCTCCTTCTCTCCTTCTCTCCATCCTCTGTGGCCGCATCTCCCCCATCCCGACATAGGATGACGTGGATGTCTCCACGAGGGCTATGGCGGTGACTCTCCTTCTCTCCATCCTCTGTCGCCGCATCCCCCCCATCCCGACCGATCAAATCCATGACCCGCTCTCATCCTCCTGATCCCCCATCCGGATCCCCCCCCCTTAGTCCTTCCCCTGCTATTCCAGCCCCTCAAGACTTCAATGGCGACTACCTTCTCCTCTCCCTTTTCGTCCATTTTTGGGCGCAGGCCTCTCACCTTATCCTCACTGCCAGACCAGGCACCTAACCCCCCCCCTACCCCTTAGCGTTCCTTCTCCCCCTGCCTCTCCGCATTCCCGGCGTAACCCCCGCCTACCGGTAGTCCTTCCCGGCGTAATCCCCGCTTACCGGTAGTCCTTCCCGGCGTAATCCCCGCCGACCGGTAGTCCTTCCCATATCGGCCGTGCACAAATCCTGTCCCGCTCGCAACATAGCAACCCCACAAAAAAAGAAGATGCAGCGCTAAACAAGGAACGGAAGGAGGGAAGGATGGAGAGAGGGAGGGATGTGGGGAGGGAGCGGGGGGAGAGAGAGAGACAGAGAGAAAAAGACCACGCCGCGCGAACCAACCTATTTCATTTTCCGGCCGAGTGTGAACGAACCCTTCCACCTCTTCACGCACAACATCTCTGAGAGAGAAAAACAGAGATGGAGGGAAGGGTGGAGGTAGGGAGGGAGGGAGGGAGGGAGGGAGGGAGGGAAGGGGAAAGAGAGACGGGAGGCAGGGGGTGTCACTTCCCCACTCTGCGCGAACTTACCTATTTCGTTTCTGGGTCGAGTTTGAACGGAACTCTCCACGTCTTCACGCCCAACACTGCTGTGTGTATCTGTATGCGTATGTGTGTGTGTGTGTGTGTGACAGAGAGAGAGAAAGAGTGTGCGCGGAGGCCCCTGCGCTGCTCCGCGCCCCTGCCTATTCCTTCCTGGGCAGCGCCGACCAGAATCGGTGCTGCGCGGCAACAGCTGTGCCGAACTGCACTGTCATGAAATGAAAATGCCGACGGCGCTCGTTTTGCTGTCTTGGCAGCGCCAGCCCAGTGTGCTCAGTGTAGAGCGTGCGGGCTGTCCCCACTGAAGAACATCCTGAATACACTGGCGCGCAGTGTGGTCCCAATACATTCAAAGGAGTAGGTGAGTCCAGATACTCTATTGAGTCCAAATACTCTATTTAGATGGCAGAATTTGCAAAATACCCCTGAAAGCTTGCATATATGTCAAAATACACCTAAAAGATGTGGGTGTAGTGGAATACCCCTCGGAAATTTTGAGAGTCTATCAAATGCCCTTCGGATTAAACCACCTCTCTACCAACCGGCATATAGGCCCTCTTTAGAATAGGCATGCGCCCTACCGGTAGGTCTGTGTGGGGCCCCGGCCTCAGTCCCAGAGTGGCAAACATGGAAGTGCGCCCAATCGGCACGGCAATTATTTTGCAGTTGATATATTTGACGATATATATATATATAAGGCCACAACAAAATCGATGGCCCTTCAAATTTTCAGAAAATGCAAGGGTCGTTGCATTCTCTCTCTTCTTGATTTTTTTTTTTTACTTTTCTATGAATCGATGATTAAAAAAAAAAAAACGAGTGTATTATAAAGTTATTGCTTTCGTATACAAACTTAGATTTACCGATCAATCAGTCAATCAATAAAAAAAATAATCGATCAATCAACTAGTTGATCAATACATCTTCAATCAATTAATCAATAAATTTTATAAATCGATCAATTAATCAATTAACCAATCATTAAAGCAATTAGATTCACAACCTGATTACCTTCGAATTCATTTGACTCTCTCACAAAAAAGCAAGGGGAAAGAACTTTCAGTGAATGTTAGGGGCTTGATTAGCAAGGTGTCACTACATGTGTTTCTCAATAAGACTGATCTGATTGAGTTTCTTGTAAGAGTGATATAAAATTGTGTCATACATGTATGGGTCGTTTCCATTAAAATTCGGTTTTATTTGTATGAGTCATTTCCATTAAAAATATATTGATATATATGATGTACGCGACCTATATGTGACCACGTACGCTGGTACATATGTTTGAAAAATAAATGTCACGTACTATCGCAACACAGACAATATTTGCTTAAGCGTCGTCCCAAAATACA